GCGGCAGCGATGATGCCGCCACCGCCCAACGGCGAGCCAGGCACAGGCGGGATCCAGACCGCGCTCCCGCCCAGTGCCAGGAGCTTACGTGGAGGAGGGACACTGCTTCAGAGATGCATTTTTTGAATGCCTTTGTATGGGCAGGTTGGGCTGGCGCTGCGTAGTTTTCAAAGTAAAGGCCGGGCGACGGTGAGATCGCGTTGGGCATGATGCATAGGTTTTACCTCCGGCATGCCGAATGACAAAACGTTGTTATTCTTTTGCTGGACAGCGCGATGTGGACACCTGCAGATGGTCTCTGTGAGGCTGACCTGAAACGTTGAATACGGGTCTATTCTATTTGTAGGTGAGCCCTGGCGGATTTGGCGCAATCGTGCGCACCTAGAGTTTATTGGGAAGGCCTTACGGCCGGTGCCGCCGACCCTGGGACGACGACAACGACGGCGGCGGCGGCGACAACGCTGACGCTCTGGAGCCTTCCTTGGGGTGCTGTTGGGAGCCTACCGGGCTCTGTTGGGGGGCCCCTTGGTGGACCTCTCGGGACGCTCCGTGGCCACTCGGGGCCGCCTCGGGGCAGAACGGAGGCCTCTTCGAGGCATGCTGGGGCAACACGCAGCACCCCGCAGCAGCAGATGAGAGTGAGGAGGGGGTCCCAAAAGATGCCCTCAAGACGGCCGAAGAGGACTCCACCACGCTTCAGGACGGCCTCGAGAGGCTCCCCAAGAGGGCCCTGGGAGGCACAATTCACCCATGTCCCTACGGTTTTTGCAGGACTGGGGCGTGCTCGCTTTTCCCGTCAGATCGCTCCAAGACGGCCCGCGAGGCCCCGAAGAGGGGGGGTCCAGGAGGAGGGGGGGACGGTGGCCCCCCTGTCCACAGGGGGGAGGCGGGGGGAGGGGTCGTGACTTCCCCCCTGTCCACAGAGGGGCCACCCCTGTGTCCCCCTTGTCCACGGGGGGGACCCCCATGGGCGGGGAGGTCGCGACCCCCGGGGACACTCCCCGGGGACCTCTCCCGGGAACCCCTGGCTGCCCCCTTGGACCCTCCCCAGGGCCCCCCAGGGAAGGGATCCAAGGGAAGTGGCCCCCCTCTGAAGCAATGACGTCTTTGTTTTATCTCCGCCTGGCTGGATCGCTTGAGGAGGAGGGCTCAGGGAAAGGGGGGAGCGGCGACGGCGACGAGGACTCAAACGGAAACACGTCTCACACACGCTGGCGCAATCGTGCGCACCGAGAGTTTACTTGTTGCCGTGGAAGCGGGCGAGTTTATGTTTTCTTTCATTATTTGGCCCGAGGAAAATTATTTGTAGTTGCCGTGAGAGCTCGTAATAGGGTGCACACGGTCTCCACAAGCAATCCAGCGTTAACATCATACATGTGTAGATATCGTGGATGAAAACGCAAGCGTGATCGAGTGCGGGTCAGGCGATCGTGCGTCATGAGCAGCTTCACGTTACTGTAGTCATCTAGGGGGCTGTCTTGGAAGCGTCTTGCCTCATCTTGTAGCCATCTCGGGACCTTCGGGCAATCGTGAAGCCATCGTCGGGTCTCGTCGGGCAATCTTGTGGCTGCCTTGGACGTAGTGGTCAAGGGATGACCTGGCACATACTGGGTCCATTCCCATACCATGCCGACACATGTTTCTCCAGCGGGGCCCCGAGGGACAGCCTCGCGTACGCGACCCAGTCAGCAGTAATATATCCATGAGTGTGTATTCGAGGAGATGACACGTCTTTGTGGAGGAGGACAGACGATGTCGCAGGTCTGGTGGCACGACAAGGGGTTTGTGGATCAATTTCGAGGCTCGCTGTGCAGCCGGCTGGGTTAAACGCAACACGGTGTCTCAACAATGACGCAGTTCACGGCGTCATCATTGCGAAGGCTTGACGGCTGGTGCCGCCGACCCTGACGGGAGAAGACGACGACGACGACAACGGCAGCGATGACGACGACGACGACGCTGATGCTCTTGAGCCGAAAGCTGCTCCCAAGGAGGGGTTCTCGCCCCCGAAGGGGCGGTCACAACTCCCGAGACCCACACCCCACATCCCCACCCCCACCTTCCCAGGACTACGCGGGATCCCCCCGCCTCCCCCAGGCGTGGGAGGGATCAAGGGGAAGGGGTTTCCCTTGGACTCGACTGCGGCGTTGCTCGAATTCCCTTTGGCTGGAACACTTGATCGGGGGAGCGGCGACGACGACGACGACTCAAACGAAAAAGCCTCTCACATGCCGACAGGGTTAGCGAACTTCAGCCGTTCGGGTACTGCGTGAAGCTTCGTGATGATGTTGTGGCGACCCTGCACATGTCATCATTGCCGCGTTATCCACTTCACGAGTTTGACTTAGCGTGCAGCTTCACGAAATACAAATGCTCCAAGCGTTGTTTGTCACGACGCTGATGCTACTTCTGGGTCGCTTCGTACATATCTGTCAGCACACTACCGTTCGGGCTGTGTCATATAGAACATACAGAACTCGTTCTCATCAATACATCCTGAGTCTGCAAGCTCGGGGGCTCTTACAGGCGAGATCGCAACTGCGAATATATTGCTCCTACCGCTGTGAGCTTCGCGAAGAAGACTTGATCGCAAGTGTACATGTCTTGGAGGTTGTGCACTCTGTATGCGAGGTGACGCCATCGCGAAATGCTGATATTTCGGGGCCTCTCTGCACACACAAAACAACAGGCTGGCAAGCTTGCAACACAACGGCATGGCCAATCCATCCAGCGAGTGCTGATGTGGAATGGTGCTTTCTGACCCTCGTCGACGTCATGGTTTTGCAGAACTCTCCATCCCTCCTCTCCGTTGTCCTCCCTGTTTGCGTGTCTTACAGTCGGGGCGCTGAAGATGGAACCCTGTTCGTTGGGGAGGGGCTCGGTGTTCTTGCTTGTTTTGAAGTTTGCCTACGGTTTTCCGGAGGTTTTTCCATGGGAAATCGAAGTTTAGCTTGTGGGGAAGAAGGGGCCTCGCTCCATATTCAGGGTTCCTTAGGTCAACGCCCCGACTGTATCTCCGCTCGCCCAAGGCGGGAGGAGGAGGAAGAGGAGGAGGAGGAGGAGGAGGAGGAGGAGGAGGAGGAGGAGGAGGAGGAGGAGGAGAAGAAGGTCAACGCTCCGACTGTATCTCCGCTCGCCCAAGGCGGTCTGTTTTCTGCTGGCGGCGGCCACGCTGGCGGCGGGGCCCGGGCCTACCGCGCCGCGGAGGCCTTCCTCGGCCGCCCAGCAGGCTGGCCGGGCGCGGCCGGGGAAGTGGGGGCCGGCAGCCGCGATGACGCCCCGGTACGCCCCTGCTGAAGCGCAACACGTACCTCGAAGAAGAAAACGCGCCAGGAGCATAAATTTTAGGGCGCTCCGCTTGGATTTCTTGGATCTGCGCTGGGCCCCCAACGGCGGCGCCTCCGGCGCCGCCCCTGGCGCGCCCCGCGCGCCAGGGAGGGGGTCCGGCGCGGATCCAAGAAATCCGCGCGGAGCGCCAACAGTTTATATTCATGGTTTTTTTCTTGTCTATTCCTGAGCTTCGCTGCCCCGGTACGCCCCTGCTGAAGCGCAACACGTACTGTGTTCGACACGTCCAGGTGAGACACGCTGCGTGTTGGCTCAGCACGTGTTTTCCCCTCCTCCGCCTCCTCCTCCTCCTCCTCCTCCTCCTCCTCCTCCTCCTCCGCCTCCTCCTCCTCCTCCTCCTCCTCCTCCGCCTCCTCCGCCTCCTCCTCCTCTCTCCCTGCCTCTGCCGCTGGGCTCCGCATGGACGTCAGCAAGAAGTGTTGGCCCACGTCCCGGCGAACGTGCCGCGCCGGCGCCAGGCCTGTGTGTTCTCGACCTGCGTGTTGAGCTCCGTGTCAACACGCTACGGTTTGCGTGTACAGAGGTATGAGGAGGAGGAGGAGGAGGAGGAGGAGTAGGAGGAGGAGGAGGAGGAGGAGGAGGAGGAGGAGAAGGAGGGGGGGGGAGGAGGAGGAGGAGGAGGAGGAGGAGGAGGAGGAGGAGGAGGAGGAGGAGGGGAGGAGGAGGAGAAGGAGGGGGGAGGAGGAGGAGGAGGAGGAGGAGGAGGAGGAGGAGGAGGTGGAGGAGGAGGAGGAGGAGGAGGTGTAGCGCGTAGCAGGGCAGCTGCCTTGATTTGTTTGGTTGGAGTCTCCAAGTTGCTTCAGACAGTTTTGAGTTTCAGATCCGTCCCAAACTGTATGCCTGGTGAGCAGGTCGGTTTCTGGGGGCGCCGCTCTCATTCAGATTTTGTCTGAAGTTCGCAACAGCATCTATTCAAACATTAGTTCAATTCGCAACAGGTGTCGGGGTGAGTTTTGCTCTCCTCGATGCTACTTCGGACGTCGGGAGGCTTTGCGGCTCTCCGGGAGACCCTGGGCTGGTGCGCGAGAGCTCTCAGGAGTAGATTCCGAGCTGGCTTCGAGCATTGGCTTGCACTGTCTGCCAGCCAGTGGGCAGTGATGGAGTGCTCCTGGCCTCACGGGCGCGGGTGGCTGTCGTGGAGCTGGTGCTGCCAGGGATGGCATGCGCCTTCATGGTTCACGAGGGGATTTTGTTTCGCAGCCGTCCTAGCATTCCCTTCTGCTTGGCAAATACGGAGCTCGAGGGCAAGGACTCTAGCTGATAAGACGATCGCAGCCAAATAACATAGGACAGACAAGACAGCGAGGGGTATGCGCGAATGAGACGAGTAGCTTAGGGCATGTGGCCATTGTTCCCCCAGTTTCGTGCTGCTTGACTGCACGGACAGGTCTTCCGCCTCTTGCGGTCTGGCCGGCCTCGTGCTCACCCTGTGTGCTTAGATGGGGTATGATTAATTGGCTTACGCCGCACCGCCGACCCCTTGGGGCGGCAGCAAGAGTGAAAGACGGAGTTCGCGGAACGCGCGCGATCGCTGGGCAATCTTGGGGCTTCGGCATGTCCTACGTGGCGTGTGGGGTTCAAGGGGGGGCCTTGCAGGGGATTGTTCTGAAGTTTTATCGTGGTCTTGTGTGGGTTTCTTGGGGCCCTCACGGGGCCTGTCCCAGGCCTCCTTTTCCAATCCCTGGATAGGCTCGGGGGTCGTTGAGACCCAGCCGGGGGTGCGTGCGGCCAGAAGCTCGAGAGAGTGGACCCAGCCGTGTCAACGAGGAGCTCCCTGAAGGCCCAGAGGCGGCGGAGAGCGCCCAATAACTAGGAGTCTCATCAAGGGCTCCCTCGAGGGCGCGAAGTTATTCGCGCTTCGCGCTTCGCGGTCCTCGTTCCTTCTCCTCCTCCTCCTCGTCCTCCTCTTCTCCCCCTTGGGGGGCGGCGCGAGAGCGCGAAGTTATTCGCGCTTCGCGCAGCGCGAAGCGCGAACTTAGGAGCCCTTGCTCATGCCTCGAGCCTCGATCCACCCCGTGTTCCTTCTTTGCGAAGGAATGGCACCGGCCAGGGAGGTCGATCCTCATCCCGGACCCTCGGCGGTGGTCCCCGGCGCCGAACACGGTTCTTGGAGGCCGAATTCGAGGAGATGCCTCGGGTGGTCGAAAGACCACGTGAATATGTGAGGCATCGGCGGCGACGATGAAATTTATTTCTTTTTCTCCTCTTCCTCCTCCTCTTCCTCCTCCTCGTCCTTCTCCTCTGCTTCTTCTCGATCCAGGTCGATGCCCGCGGCAGTTCTGGCCGCCTTTCCAGAGAGTTTTTGTTTGAACAGCTATTGGTTTTGATAGGTTTCGGTGTCCGGGTGGCGTTGCTGGGCCCCGGGACTTTCACAAATCCGGACGGGCCTGGGGCGAGAAATTGCAGCAGCGGGCCCGGGGAGAGGTTCGGGGAACGAGTTTGTGCGGAGTAGCCCGTCGGACTCGGGAGGTTTGTTGTGGTTGGGGGGCTTCTGGACCCTTCCCCCGTCGCCGCGGCAGGATGCATTTGGGAAAACGATTGCGGCTGGATTCCGGGAAGGGTCCGGGGGGCCCATGGTGAACGAATTCTGCGTGGAGAAAAGAGAAAATGTTGATACAGAGTCTTAGTTCGTTCCGGTCTTTTTCCGTGGTTTCCGTCGCCGAAGGGCCGCCTCCGGGTTTCGGGGACCTTCGGGGGCACTGTGTATCCCCGTCAGGGCCTCTTGGGTGCCTTTAGGCGCCCCGCGGACAAGAAACGAATTTTGTCACAGGGTCTTCGTCTTGTCAGGTTTTTTGTTTTTTTCGTCGTCGAAGTGCCGCCTCCGGGTCCCGGGGTCTGGCATCGTGGAGCCTGGGCCTCTTGTGGGTGCCCTGTGGCGCTCTCCCGGGTTTTCGGGTGAAGCGCTCGAATTCTCCACTCGGGTTTCCCCTCGGGCACTTTTTGTGGGGCCGTCCTGGGGCCTTTTTTGGTGGATTCGGGGGCCCTCTTGGGGCCCTTTTGGGCTGTCTGGGAGCCTTCTTGGAGGCATATGGGGTTTTCTTGGGTTGATTTTTGGGGGCTTCTTGGGCTGCTGTGAGCCGCGTGACAGGCCAAGGATCAAAAGTGCTAAACTTGGGCGTTTTCTTCAGTGAACGGGCCGAGGTTTGCTTCTGAGAGCCTCTTGGGACGCGTTCTGGTGGCGTGTCGGGGCGTGCAGGGGGCTTCCGGGGCCGTCCGGCGGCAGTGTCGGACGTCCTGGAACGATCTCTTCACGCGTCGTAGCCCTTTGGGGCCGTCGGAGGAGCCCCTTGCGGTCGTCCTGGGGCCCTCCTCGGTGGCTGCGGGGGCCCTCTTGGGGACCTTGTGGGCCGTTTGGGGGCCCTCTTGGAGGCATATGGGGTTTGCTTGAATTGACTCGGGGACTTCTTGGGTGGCTGTGGGCCTCGTGACAGTCCAAGAAGCGAATGTGCTAAACTTGGGCGTTTCCCTTGAAGAACGGGCCGATGTTTGCTGGTGGAGCGCCTCTTGGGCCGCGTCCTGGTGGCGTGTCGGGGCGTGCAAGGGGTCTCAGGGGCCGCGTGCAAGGTCAAGAAGCGAACTTGTTGGAATATGTTCTTTCCATCGACAATGGGACGGTTGTTGCTTCTGGAAGGCCTCTTGGGACGCCTCTGGATAGCGTCTTGAGGCGTCTTGGGGGCCTGTAGGGCTGTCGGGAGGCAATGTTGGACGACTTGGGGTACTGTTGAACGCCTTGGGCCGACCAGGAAGCCTTTTAAGTACCCTCTTGGCCCGTCTTGGGGCCCTCTTGGGACCGTCCTGCTGCTCTACATGGCCGTTGCTATGATTTCTTGGACCTTCCTGGGGCGGGCGCCCAGAGGCTGTGTTGGAACCCTCTTGAAAGCCTCAGGGGCTGTAGGGTGTCGAAATTGGAGGCTTCTTGGGCTGTTGTAGACCTCGTGGAAGCCCAAGGGGCGACTGTGCTGAAAATGTATGTTTTCCTGAGGGAATGGGGCGATTTTTTGCTTCTGAAGGCCTTCGTGGAGCGTCTCGTAGTAGCTTTTTCAAACGTTCCGGGGGCTTATGGGGAATCGTCTGCAGGCAAGCTGGGGCGGTTTGGACCGAATCGTATGCTTTCCCAGGGGAATGGGGCGATTTTTGCTTCTGGAGGGCCTTCGTGGGCCGCCGCGTAGTACTTTTTCAGGAGCCTTGGGGACTGATGGGGCCGTCCGGAGGCAATTTTTGGCGTTTTGGAATGATCTTTCGTCGACTCGTAGCTCTCTTGGACCGTTTCTCCTGAGGCTCCAAGAATGCGGCCGAGACCTTTGCCCCCCCACCCCCTCCAAACCGGCCGGGCCGGGCCCCCGGGGGAGGGGTTTGGGGAGGGGGAAGCATCTCACACGCCGCCGTGACCTCAAGGAGTCGGCGGACCTTAAGGAAGCTAGGTTCGGATGCAACTCCTGGAAGGTCAAATTCTGATTTTGCCCTGGTCCGAAATCCGGTTTAATCCGGCTCAGTCCCGCTTACAGGCTTAATCCCGCCCAATCGGGCTTAGTCTCGCTATTCCCCGCTTAATCCGAGGCCCACTCCGGCGTGACAGCACCCCAATGGGGCTTAATCCTCCTTAGTCCTTTTGGCGAAGACCTCCCAGTAGTTGCCTTCTAAGCTAGTGGTCGTGGCGAGGCGGCCAGAGTGGGACATGAAATCTCTGTATCGTGTACGGGGGCGGCGCGTGCGCGGGGCCTCCGCGAGCGGAGGCGTTCATAATCGGGGACATGCAGGACTTCCTGGAAGTCTACGGGCTTCATGATTCCAATACCACGTCGGCCCAAAGAATCCGAAGCAGTCTGCTCCCAGCCTTATCAAATCACGTTGAACCTCTGAGTGGACGAGCTTCCTCACCCGCGGACGGAGAGTGTCGAAGAGTCAAAGTTTGCACGAAGGGGTGGTCGTGCTGGGGGTCCTGGTTCGGAGCTTTCCGAGTCCTCTGCATGATCGGGGTGGGCAGCAACCTGCAAGGACACGCGCTGCCATGCTCAATTCGGCGTCCGCGTAGCACTCTCTGGCAACAAAACAACAAACAATGTCTGCGTCTTAGTTGCAAAGCAGGCTGGAAGTCAGAAGGATGCCCTTCACCATAGAATGAGGAACCTCCTCTACCAAATGTTTCTCAAATGCTCCTCATACGTAACTCCCTGTCGCACCACAATACGTGTCCGTAGACCTGGCTGGACTTTTCGCTGGAGGTCTCGTTGGAATGTGTGATCCCGAGTCTGTCAATTTTTAGTTACACGGATGGGGGGCAGTAATTTTCAGCATGTGGC